TCCCTATTTTCGTAAGCCTCCAAATCACAATCCACAAATTCCGCATACTGCGGGTGCCTTTTCAAACAAGAGTGGGAGAACTCGAAGTCTCGATGTCCGACGTATAGTACAAAGTCACCGTGTTAGTGCAAGGCTTTAGGGTTTAGAGGGTAGAGGGTTTAGGGTTTAGGGTTTAGGGATTAGGGTTTAGGGCTTAGGTCCCAGAACGTGGATAAAAACCAGGCAGCCTTGGCGTCAAACTCATCCTGCACCATGTCTTTCGCTCGAGTCACGTCCCGGGCATCCTGTCGGCTGCAGGGTTTTGGGTTTAGGGTTTAGGGTTTAGGGTTTAGGGTTTAGGGTTTAGGGTTTAGGGTTTAGAGGGTCTAGGGTTTAAGGGTTTAGGTACAGGTGGGGGGCTAGGGGCTCCGAAGCACTAAGCGTTTAAGGGACTTGGTGCGGACAAGGTTTAGGGCTTCAGGGTGTTGTTGAGGTCTAGAACTTCGGAAAGTTTAGGGCTTCTTCAACAAAACCCTAGAAGCCAACCCTCAACTCGGAACTCTGAACCGCAGGCCCTAAAGCCAAGAGGTTTTCGGATTGGGTTCTGTCCTGTTACTGTCTTGGCGTTTGCCCTGTAAGTTTTGGATTCCCGGAGTTGGGTTATGGGTTCGTTAGGAACTTCTCGGAGATTGCACTTCCAGTGCCGGGTGTTGCAACAGCCCTGTGGGCAGATGCAACTGCAGCCCCTCAACCTTACACCCGAAGCAGTGCGGAGACATGTCCGTGTTACTATGTCGACACCTCCCTATCAAAAACCAAAAACCCTAGATTCCCAAAGGCCTTAAGCCATACAGCCTTAAAAGCCGAAAACCCCAAAAACCCTACAACCCCAAAGCCCTAAACCCGCAAACCCATCAAAAATGAAAGTAAAAAACAAAAAACCAAAAAATAGAAAACTACAACCCCACAACCCCAAAGCACGTAGAAAAAAAAAAAACACCCTAAACCCTAAACCCTGAACCCTAAACCCTAAACCTTGAACCCTAAACCCTAAACCCCAAAACACGTAAAAGCAAAAAGACGACCAGGCCTTGCCGCCCGCCAGCACCACCATCCCCGCCTCTTTGGCGACGAAGTTGTCCGAGACCTCTGACACTGGACTTGCAGGGTTTGGGGCTGAGGGTTGAGGGTTGAGGGTTCAGGGTTTAGGGTTTAGGGTTGAGGGTTCAGGGTTTAGGGTTTAGGATTTAGGGTTTAGGGTTTAGGGTTTAGGACTTCGGGCTTGGGGTTTAAACCCTAAACGGCTGAGCCACGAGGGCTTGGGGTGTGGAGCTTCTTTTGCACCATTCTTCTTTTTGTCAACCCTAAACCCTAAACCCTAAACCCTAAACCCTAAACCCTATATAAATAGTACGAGGTCTGCTCCGTGGCTTCGTGGGTTCAGGGTTCAGGGTCTCGGGCTGTTTCGGCCCCGAAAGTCTTTCCTCAGGATCGCTGCTAGCCCAACTTAAACTTCAGGTATGGCATTTTACGCACGGGGCTTCGGGTTTAGGGTTTCGGGTTTCGGGTTTAGGGGCGCAAAAAACCAAATAGACATAGGGATCCTACTATTGGGGTATAAGGGCCGCTACAAGGGGGAATCTTTCCGCTTTTGCATGGATTTTTGGGCCACTGGTATCCAGAATGCAGCTGGCTTGGCGAGTGATGGGAGTTGATCAAACTACCTGTTTTGCAGGAACTCTATATCTCCTTTGAAAACCGATAGCAACCCTAAATAATTTCCCAGCAACATCTCGAAACCACGATTGAACTCCAAGCAGCCTAATTGCTCAGGAGACATTTTTTTCAGAAACTGGGCAGGGGCACAGAAGCATCAATCAAGTTCAGTCCACAAACACGCAGCGAGAAAGAAACGCTTTGCTCCGGCCGGCGGGTCCGTCAACTAACAATGATCTTGAGTCGCTACAGCGCCGCTACAGGGAGTAGATTGCGACCTGCGGGCTGATTCTTGTATTTCGAGTTTCGTCATCGTTCGTGAAGCCGTGAAGCAAGTGTTTTGGTCGCATTCCATGGCGTCCAATACCTCTGACATGCCAAGACCAAAACATCGTGTTTTGACATTATGAAGTAGGGTATATATATATATATATATATAGATAGATAGATATATATATCCAATAACAGTAATATAAACCCTACTTCTGACATAGTAGGTACCCTATATCAAGGCAGGTCCTGCCTTGCAGGGTCATATAGGGGGATCAGGCACCTCGTTCCCTACTAAGAACTAGTTGCCCCTGCACAGCCCGTGCAAAGGATTTTGGTGTTTCCGCGTACCCTATGTGGGATTCCTACATTCGAACAGGTTTAGATGTCTCAAGTCGCAAGCCCTAAACCCTGACACTTATTCCTCAAACTCCGAAGGTGTAAAGCCTCAGAGAAATGTGCCTACAGAAGTTTCAATGCCAAAAAGGCTCAAATATCCCAAACCCAAATGCCTTGTTTTGCATTAAAACTCTCATCTGCAATTCCTGAAATCCATGTGATCGTGATATTCACCGCTCTCGAGAAGATGAAAGGGGTGTGAGCATGAACCTCAGATCACACAAGGACTGGATACAGGGATTGGAAGATGGGAGTTTGCAAAAAATTGCATTTAAACCCAATCCTTAAACCCTTAAACCCTTAAACCCTTAAACCCTTAAACCCTTAAACCCTTAAACCCTTAAACCCTTAAACCCTTAAACCCTTAAACCCTTAAACCCTTAAACCCTTAAACCCTTAAACCCCAAACCCTAAGCCTAAACCCTAATTAAACCCTAAGTATGAAAAAAAGTAAAGACATGTTCGCATCTGGGAGCCAACAGCCCCTATGCACATGGACTTGGTAGCAGGGAAACTGGTCTGTGGGTGGCTTGGCTTAGAGTAGCGTTTAGGATTTGGGGTTTAGGGTTTAGGGTTTAGGGTTGTTTGGGGCTCCCTAAGCCCTAAACCCCTACGGTTAGGGTTTAGGGTTTAGCATCTAGGAGTGTGCCAGACGGAAGCGCGCGTTGTCAGCGCGCGTTAGGCTGCAGACCGGCCCACCTCCAGACCGCCCAGTTACAACTCTCTCAGGGAGTTCAGGCCTTCTTCAGCTTTTCTACAAAGCAACATGTACTCTTTATGCAAGGTGGTTTAGACTAAAACCACTTCACTGAAGCCACTTACTTTGAGACGCTTGGGTCGCTTGGGGGCAGACTTGGGACACCCCAATTATTAGGGTTTAGGGTTTAGGGTTTAGGGTTTAGGGTTTAGGGTTTAGGGTTTAGGGTTTAGGGTTTAGGGTTTAGGGTTGCTTGAACCACTTGCGCACTTGCTGCACTTAGGCCACTTGGGTCGCTTAGGATACGTGGCACATCACTGGGGACACCTCATTTCAGTGGTCACTTGGGACACTCGGGTCACTTAGGTTCAAGACACACTTTGGACCATAGCGTCACTTGGACACTTGGGTCACTTGAACACTTCGAACACTGGGGATAAGATTTAGGGTTTCTGAGCTGAGGGAGTTGGGCATTTTGGGCTTAGAGGCGTTGAGGCTGAGGGTTTAAATGCACGGGTTCGGCCCCAAACTGAGATCCGGACGGCGACCGCGTTCAGGGGCCGGTCAGACTGAACACGGTGTTTCGGGGTTAGGGTTTAGGGTTTAGGGTTTAGGGTTTAGGGTTTAGGGTTTAGGGTTTAGGGTTTAGGGTTTAGGGTTTAGGGTTTAGGGCACTAAGGGCTTCAGGGTCTAGGGGTCTAGGGCGCTAAGGGTTCAGGGTTCAGGGTTTCGAGGGTTTTGGGTTTGGGGTTTAGGCTTTGGGGGTATCCACCCTTAAGGTAACACTCTTGCGTGGGTTATGAAAGGCTTCTGGGTTTGGTGCCATCAGAACCCACTGGAGAACTAATTTATGCCGACCTCTTGTGCAGGGGGATGGGCTTCAGGGTTTTAGGGTTTAGGGTTCAGGGTTCAGGGCTCAGGTTTGAGGGTTCAGGCTTTAGGTTCAGTGTCCAGGGGGATGTCCAGCTCCAGGGCTCAAGAACAGCTTCGGGTTCAGAAGGATCCCAAACCCCTAAAATCGAAAAACACCAAATACATAAATAAACATATATATATATATTTATCTATTTATATTTATATTTATTTATTTATTCATTTGTGTATTTATGTATGTCCTACTTCTCAACTGCTGTCATCGCTGAACAGACTAAGCAATGAGAGCAAACAGCCGCCCTCGCTTTTTGCGACATGCAACTCGGGCCATGGAGTGTTCTCTGAGCAAGCAAGGCTGAAGCCGATTGCTGCTTACGACAGTGAAACCTAAAAAGATGCAACTGAAAGTCATGACGACCGTCGGTCTGTGCTTGACAGGCGATTGACACAGATTGGCAAGAAGCCCGGTCACGCAGATGCATGGCAGATGCTCATACTTGCACATACTCGGCTGCACAGCAAGTGCAGTGCCACGAATGCATGGCAGATGCACGCACGAATGCATGGCAGATGCACACACGAATGCACAGGAAGTGCAGGCACAGGAATGCAAGCAGAGGCAGAGCGGAGGGGAGGTGGCGGCTCAGCTTGGAACAGAGCCTGAGTTTCGGCGTCCGGACATTTGGATGCTATGTCCTACTTCTCAACTGCTGTCATCGCTGAACAGACTAAGCAATGAGAGCAAACAGCCGCCCTCGCTTTTTGCGACATGCAACTCGGGCCATGGAGTGTTCTCTGAGCAAGCAAGGCTGAAGCCGATTGCTGCTTACGACAGTGAAACCTAAAAAGATGCAACTGAAAGTCATGACGACCGTCGGTCTGTGCTTGACAGGCGATTGACACAGATTGGCAAGAAGCCCGATCACGCAGATGCATGGCAGATGCTCATACTTGCACATACTCGGCTGCACAGCAAGTGCAGTGCCACGAATGCATGGCAGATGCACACACGAATGCCACCCACCCCTCACAAGCAGCGGAGGCGAAGGGGCCGGCGGCGGGCCAGTCACAAACGCAAAACCGGCCTTCCGGCACGGTTTGGCAGTTGAAAGCGCTGATTCAAGTGAGTGAGCAGCGCGCCGAGGAACACCGAGAATGTGCTTAGAAGAACCTGGCCGAATGGGCCCAAACCCAGGCACGCAGGACAAGAAGCTTCCATGAAAGAGCCCACGGAGGGCGGCTCGTGCACACCCCTCAACCAGAGAACAAACTCGAGCAAAAGCGCATCCAAGCACTGAAAAAGCAGACCAAAAGTTTGTTGCAGTGCCCAGCGAAAACTGAGTACAAGGAACCGGCCCACAAGGAAATGCGCTGACGGGCGTGACAGCACAGCGACCAACACTGTCAACAAGAAAAGCTTGAGACTGGAAACCTCTGCGAAAAGCGACCTCAGGTGGCGAAAGCCTGCAGACACGGCTTCAAGCCGGCTAAGCACCGGATGAGGCGCAGCGGCCGCTGGAGACAACGAAGGCTGGACGGGCCGACAGGGCTGCAAATCGGCGGGCTCCAACGCACGCGTAGCAACTGCCGCACGGGCGAAGAGCCGAAGTTCTGGTTCTGCGCAGCGCTTTGCAAACCGTTCAAGTTGCACAAAAGACAAGTCTCTGAAGAAGGTTCCTCTGTGCGGCCCCTGTTGAACTTTCTTCGAACCATGAAGCGCTAGCAAGCGATCCATACGCAGAAAGCAAAGCCGGTAAGCAAATGCGCGGGGAAGCCCTGCTGGCGCTTGAGCCAAAACTGGAAAACAAAAAGTCGCTGCCGTGACGAAGGAGTGTGGTGATTCTGCGCTTTGCCGCTGGCGAGAGTGTCAGCTGAACCTGTCGGCTGAGAGCAAGCTGCACATAATGGCCTAACGTACGCTCGCTGGCCCAGCGACCCCGGAACTTAAGCCTAGAAATTTCCATCCCCATAACGTGCAGGTGGGAAGCACCCCCAGCACGTAAAGAAGCTGGTGAAAAGCCCTGAGCCTCGACGCCTAAAGTTTGCGAGACCTGACGGAACATGGCCCGGAAGCGGCGCGGGCCCCACGGCCACAACTGGTCTTGTGGGCACAAATGCGGCAAGATGCTCTGCAAGGCATGGCAGCAGGGAGCATGCTCAACGAGAACAAACTGATGTCGGCTCATGTGTCGCCGATTCTTTGGCGCTTCTATGCGGACCACAACACCTACAGGTGCAAAAATCCAAGAATCTGGCAGAGAGATGCTGCACGCACGCAGCTGCAGGATCTCTCCCGGTCGCAGCAAACCAAAAAACCCTAGTTCCAGTGCAACTGCAAAACGAAGCCACTCGTGACGCCCAGCTTCAGCGACACAAGCTTGCGCACGGGCAAATACCACAAAAGCCGCTAGGACCGAAAGTGGGAGAGGCGGCCGGACACGGACCTCAGTGGCTTCTTCCCACGCAAGCAACGTTTGCCAAGCTAGCGGCAGCCTCCGGCGATAATGCGGATAAAGCAACTGCACCACTAAAAGGCCATGTTTTGCGACACTGAGGAACGCAGGCCCTTTTTTGCTGTAAGCCCAATTGACGAACCCCTCCAAACAAGCATCAAGCAGTTTTCGACGCCTGGCAAGATGATGCAAGTTGCTGTTTGCACGAGACAGGTACTCTTGCAAGAGCCGATAACCCTTGAAGAGGCGGCGTCTGTAGGCGGTCGACAAGTGGCTGCCCCGCAACGTCATGGTTTCAATGCAACGGAATTAAAACAACTACGAATTCACGACCGAAATTGGCTACGGTAGAGCATGAGTGCTGCACGACCCGAACTCAAAAGTGAGGTGAGGAAGCGCGATGTCTCAGCACGCTAACACTACAGCAGCAAGCACTCTTTACTCACACAAGCCCTCATCATGTCCACGCGAGTCAGCTCGCTGCTTGCAAGGCGACGCCTGCATAGCCTGGATTTCTGCGTCAGACAGGAGGGCGCGTAGGCCAGCCGTGGGGCTGAGGGGTTTAGGGACAGGCGCATTACGAGAGGGATAATCAGCGGGATTGGCTTTTGTGCTTACCCAAACATGAACTAAGGACTTACAACCAGCCACGCTATGCGCAAGAACCCTGCGAAGCCAGGAGTTTAGCTTCCGCGAAGAACTGCGGCCTTTGGCCCACGCTGCGCAGACGACGCGCGAGTCACAGAGGTTCACCAGACGGAGCCCTTCAGATGACTGCGAAATGGCATTCTTAAGCTGCTTCACTGCGACTTTCATTTCTTGGATATTGATGTGGCACACAGACTTGAATTTCGATCGTTCTGTGACTCTCCATCTGGCGCACAGTAAAGCTTCTTCCAGTTCATTCGGCGCTGACACAATGTCAGAAGAGGGCGCAAGAGCCCCTAGTGCCCAGTCAAGTCTAACAGCTTCACCCTTGTGAACTCCATAACGATAACACATCTCAGCAAGTTTGGGCGGTAGCTCTGCAACCGTGCGTCCAGCATGGGTCGGCGTCGCGTCCGTGGCGCTGACTCGATTTGAAACTTGCCAGCGAACGCATGCATGGGCGAAAGGCAACAGCAACGTAGCCCACAAGAGCTCTTCCTGGCACTTTTGGGGGAGAGGGCTCAGTTTATTTTGAGGCAGCCGCTCAATGACCTTATATGTTTCTTGAAAAACAGCCATGCACTCACGCCTATGCATAAAAGGATGAACAAAGAGCCCAACCAATCGCTGTAGTAACTTGCGGTTCACACAAGGCAATTGAAGCAATTGTCGGCTGGCGAGCAACAGGTGCCTGAGCTTGTGAACTGGCGCCCCCACTCTTCCGGAGCTGCTGTCGACGTGTGTGCCCCAAGCTTGGAAACTACAAGCCTTGGTAACCGCCTTCTTTGCTGAAACAGGAATCCTAAGCTCTGCGTAACGCCCCCGTGATGATGCTAGAATTTCATCATCCCTGAGTGTCTGCTGCCGAGCGCCAAAACTTTTGGAAAACTTTTGTACGACAATGTGGTCGTCGATATACAGCCCTTCCCACGTACTGCCTGCCGGAGCAGGTCTTCCATACTGAAGGGTCTCAGCTTTGCGTAAGCAATCAGCTTGCTGTAGAATCGATTCGTGAGTCCCTTGAGCTAGACAAACCCCATTGAGATCTCCCATAGGGATGGTCCGGAGAGCCAAAAAGTAACGGCGATTCGGCTGAGCTCCGAACTTGCGCAACTGAGAACCCGAAAGGGCTCTTCCTACCGCATTTCGGGGGATCCACCCATCGTGGTGCTTCAGCAGATGAAAATAGTTAGAAATGTCATCAGCACTTCCACGGATGGATTCCCAAGGATGCAACACAAGCTGGGTGAGCATCGGGCCTTGCGGCAAAACTGCCCACGACAGTCGCTGTTCAGTGGCATTCTGCGGACGCCTATCTGTGATTAAGCGATCAGAATCAGCTTTGTGGGGAACTGTGAAGAAACCTGCGACGACAGGATCGCCAGATTGAGTGCGAAGCACATCTTCCTCAGAAACTAAAACTGCCAACCCGCTCTCAAGCAACTGCATGGCAATCTGCAGTTCGTCCTCAGGCGAAACTTTGTGGCAGGGCTTAGGTCTTTTGTAGGCACTTTCATTTGGCTCGGGAACCCAATCTGGCATCGAGAGGAACTGTGCCAGCCGCTCACCACGCAGGTGCTCGGCAGGGTCAATCACGGCTCCCTGGTCTGGCAAAGAAATACGGTGAGGCAAGACATCTCCGGCATGCTGCGCTAAAGAGTCAAGGTCTACAAACCCATGTCGGTCGTAACATCGTGCACGTGCAAACTCGAGCTGTTCAAGAAGGGAAGCAATGCCTCGATTTGGGCCTTCAGGGGCTTTCACTCGACAGAACTTCCAGCACTCGTTGAACAAATTCCTAGCATGGTCACTATGCCTAGATGTCCAAGGTGAGGACGCACAGCGCTGGGCAGCTTCGGAAAGAGCTGGGTCGCTTACAGGGCAACCAACCTCGAAGTAGTTGAACAGCCCCCAAACGACTACAACCCAATCCTCAGCAACCTTCATGCCTCGCCTCCGCTTTCGGTTGCGGGTGCAACCCAGGCTGCGACCTACGGTCTCAGGCAGCGGTAGCGGAGACGGAAAAAGAGCAAAGTCGAAACTGCGGGCTTTCTGACAGCCCGTTGGCCCTGGCTCTACGGTGAAAGCCTTTAGACGGCGCAAGAACCTCGAAAAAGCTCCAGCGCCCTTCCAAGCCCGCTCTAGAAACCACTCAAAGGACCCCCCCGCGGGTAAGGAGTGCCCTGGCTCACATCTCAGGCTCCGTCCGAAGGCTTGTCGCCTTTCTCCTTTCCTTTGCGGCCGCCTTTTGCCGGACCCGGCGGCCTCCACACTTTGTCGCTCTCGCCAGGCTCGGTCTCCTGGTGCTCCTGACTTTGGTTCCACCAAGCTGCTTGCTTGGTGCGCTTTTCCAGATCTTGGACTGCTCGAAGGTACTCTGCTGCACTCTCCAGTTGGGCCGGTTCGCCGCCCCACCGCTTCCGAGCCAGCGGGTCCTTGAGACTGGTGAGCGCCCAGCCTATCTCCCAGTTGCCTCCGTCCAATGCCACTTGGTGCAGGCATCTGAGAGTGAGCACGGTCATCAGCGCTGCTGCTTTCGGATCGTCGTCCAACAGGTGCTTGAGGATGTGCGAGACGAGGAAGTGCGCTCGAAAGAGCCCCTTCTGCTTGCCGAAAGGGATTCTGCGGGTGAAATCCCAAAGGTGGTAGGGCTTGTCTCCGCCCTCCACTCCCAACTCGGTTTCCACCTCCTCTATGTATGTCCGAACATGCTTCATGGGTTTTCTCCACATGGCCTCTTGTGCTTTTCTGTGGCGCCGGAAAGCACGCGCCGCACCCCTGAGCTTTTTGCCGTCTTCTGAGGACGAGTCGCTGCTGGACGAGTCCCTGGTGTCCTTCAGGTTTCGGCTCTTTCCTTTGTCCTGCGCTGAGGCGTCGCTGAGAATCTTCATCATCAGCAACGTCTGAAGCGCCTGCGGGTCCGGTTTCCCTGCTGAACTCAACAGAAGCTTCTGCATTGCCTCCGTCAGTGTGTCCTCCCCACTTCCAGTCGATTTGCGCTTGGTCTTCTCGCCCTCGAACAAAGCGAAGCCTCGCGAAGTCTTGTCCTTCTTGTCCTTCTTGCTTTTCCGCTCGCCGGAGCTTGCGCTCTTTCCACCAAAAGCGGGACTGCTCTTTTGCGCTTGCCGTAGAAGTCGGAGTAGCTCGTCGTCCACTTCGTCCTTGTCTTTCTCTGCCTCGGAACTGGGCTCCGAGCTGGAGCTCTCCTCGCTCGGCTCTTGAACGTCGACGAAGTGATCCGCACTGACCTTGGGAGCCTCTGGCTCCTCTGACGCGGTGGCAGTGTGGATGTCTTCTGTCTCTGATATCCATCGCCTCCCTTCTTTCAGCAGAGTGGCACCACTGACTTCCAGTGCTGCAAAAGGCTCCTGCGGCACGTTGGACACGAGCTGACGCTCGCCCCCTTCCACTATCATGTACTTCCGGCTTTCTATCTCCATCATTGTAATTTCTACTGAGCTTGGCAAAGATGCTTGATCCACTGCCCTGACCATGATCATGAACTGCGCCGCTGCACCTTTTGACTTTTGCTGAACGACGATGCCTTGTCTCCATGTTGGGTTTCCAAACTGAGCATCAACCTTTACGAACACCAGCTGGCCGGGCTTTCCGCCTTTCATCTTGGGCAAGATTCACCGGCCCATGGCATTCAAAGTGAACTACACTACCTCTCAGCTTGGAACAGAGCCTGAGTTTCGGCGTCCGGACATTTGGATGCTATTTATTTATTGATTTCTTTAGAAAACAAGCAACCCCCAACAAAAAAAACAACAATAAAAACCAGTAAGCCTCCGAAAAAGCTCCTAAACCTGAATCCTAAACCCTAAACCCTAAACCCTAAACCCTAAACCCCAAACCCTAAACCCTAAGCCCTCTAAAAGAAAGAAGGCCATTTAGCGCAGGCCGCAGGTCAAGGCAAACAGACCGAGGTACAACTCACGCACCGAAGGATACAAAAACAGCGGATGTTTAAGGGTGTAGGGTTTAGGGTTTGGGGTTTAGGGTTTAGGGTTTAGGGTTTGGGGTTTGGGGTTTAGGGTTCGGGTTTAGGGTCTAGGGTTTAGGGCACCACAAGGAAGGTACCCCTAAGTGTTGGAATCCCTCACAGAAGGGAGGACCGGCCTGGAAGCTGGCTAAGGTCTCGGTGCCTGGCTGTGAAACATCCACCTGGGCACTGTGGGGTTTAGGGTTTAGGGTTTAGGGTGTAGGGTCAAGGTCCGAGAGTTAAGGTCTCAGGGTGTAAGGAGGCTTGCAAAGATGGGGGGCATTGCAGGGCTCAAAGCGTTCAGGGCTTATGGGCGCAGCCCTAAACCCTAAACCCTAAACCCTAAACCTACAGGCGGGGGGCTGCCCTACTTTGGCTCTACGTCCCGAAAACCCTGAACCATGTCATGCACCCCAAAACCAGTCTTCCAGTTCTTGGCAGACCTCTGAAACCCTGTGTGGGGCTTTGGATTTAGGGTTTAGGGTTTAGGGTTTAGGGTTTAGGGTTCAGGGTTCAGGGTTCAGGGTTCAGGGTTCAGGGTTTAGGGTTTAGGGTTTACTAGCAATTCCCAGCAACCCACTAGCCTAGGAGAAATGAGCAAAATTAGGTTGATAAGTGGGTCCGAAACCCGAAAAAACATCCTTCCGGGCACCCTGGCCCAAAAGCCGCGCTGCCGTACGCTGTGCCCCTAAACCCTAAAAACCTTAACCCTAAACCCTAAACCCTAAACCCTAAACCCTAAACCCGAAGGTGCCCGAAGGTGCCCGAAGGTGCCCGAAGGTGCCGATGTGCGGTTTTTAGGGGCTTCGGGTTAAAGGGTTCTGGCGGTTTAGGGTTTGGGGTTTAGGGTTTGGGGTTTAGGGTTTGGGGTTTAGGGTTTGGGGTTTGGGGTTTGGGGCTTGGGGTTTGGGGTTTAGGAAGGTTTAGGAGTTTTGCTTGGAGGGCCTTAGGATTCAGCGTTTAGGACACGCTCGTCCGCTCGTCCTCCTTCAGATCACCGCAAAAGCCCTCCAGCTGAAGCCTTACACTAGGGGATAGGATTGGGGGGACCTTTGGGGGCATAGACCCTCTGAATAAGGTCCCTGTTTAAGAGAGCCTCTTCCCTTTTCAGGGACCCCCTTGTCCTACCTAGGATACACCCCTTGCATCGAAAAGCGGTATTCCATGGTAAGAAGAAGAGAACAATGAAAACACAAAAAGAAGCCACCGAGTCGCCCCACCCCCCTAACTGAAAAACATGCTCTCTTCATTGTCGAAGGGGGGTCTAGCCGTTAGACCCTTAAACTCCTACACCCTTACACGCCGAAACCTCCGAGCTCTTTACTAAACCCCAAACCCTAAAACACCTGAAACCTAAAAGTCTAGAACCCTGGACACCCACCCAAAACAAAACAAGACAAAACAAGACAAAACAAGACAAAACAAAACAAAACAAGACAAAACAAAACAAGAAGAACTCCGAGCCGCAGGCCACCTTTGACGTCGTGTCGTGGGACGCCGTGACCTGGCAGGGGAATCGGTTGCGCCGAGGGAGAACTGCGAGCTTGGTTTAGGGTTGAGGGTTTAGGGGTTGAGGGTTTAGGTAGGGGTTTAGGGTTTAGGGTTTAGGGTTTAGGGTTTAGGGTTTAGGGTTTAGGGTCTAGGGTTTAGGGTTTAGGGTTTAGGGTTTAGGGTTTAGGGTTTAGAGAGTTTAGGGAGTTTAGGGCAGCGGGCCAGCGTGGACTTGTCGGGCGTGAGCGTCAGCGCAGAGACCGGGGCGCCATGGAGCTTGATGGTCTTCATCGGCGGGCCTGGACTCGCTTCGGGTTTAGGGTTTGGCGTTTAGGGTTACTCGCTTCGGGTTTCGGGTTTAGGGTTTAGGGTTTAGGGTTTAGGGTTTCGGGTTTAGGGTTTCGGATTTAGGGTTTAGGGTCTAGGGTTTAGGGTTTAGGGTTTGGGGCTTAGGGTGTCGGGTCAAAGGGCTGCAGGGTTCTTGGTTCCTGGCTCTTGGGTTCCATCCAACCCAAAACCCTTAGGTTGAAGGGCTTGGAGGATGCAAAATCCCTAAACCCTAAACCCTAAACCCTAAACCCTAAACCCTGAACCTAAAGGTTGAGTGGCTTAGGACCCTAAACCCTAAACCCGAAACCCTAAACTCTAAACCCTAAACCTAAAGGTTCAGTGGCTTGGGACGGGTTAGGCTTGCAGAGGGAGGGCTAGTAGCAGACTTCTCGGGCAGGGTTGAGGGCCCGTAGGCTTTTGCTCAAGGGGGCTGAGGGCTTAGGGCTTAGGGCTTTGGGCTTAGGGCTTAGGGCTTCGGGTTTAGGGCTTAGGGTTTAGGGCTTAGGGCTTAGGGCTTAGGGCTTAGGGCTTAGGGCTTAGGGTTTAGGGTTTAGGGTTTAGGGTTTAGGGTTTAGGGTTTAGGGTTTAGGGTTTAGGGTGTAGGGTGTAGGGTTTAGGGAGGACGGGGGACTCAAGCCGGGAGCCGGCAAATCTTGGGCACCAGAGCTTTCCTAAACCTCCCCTACTTGGAGGTTCATAGCACTTATTAACCATAACTATAACTAATAGGGTTTAGGGTGTAGGGTTTAGGGTTTTAGGGTTTAGGGGTTGTTTAGGTTAGGGGTTAGGGGTTAGGGTTTAGGGTTTCGGGTTTAGGGTTTAGGGTACTTATTAACCAATTATAACTGCACTTATAACCCGCTTCTAAGCCCCTTAAGTGCCCTAATATGGTTATAAGTACCGTTTTAAGTGCAGTTATAACTGGTTAATAAGTACCCTTATGTTGGACTGGCTTTAGTATAAGTAGGGTCTATAATCACAAGTTTCGAAAATTCATTCTGCGAACCGAGTTTGTTCAGGGTACCCGCTATTATCACAAGTTTTTTTCCGGACGTTTTTTTTTTCAAAAAGGTTTGTGGTTTGGGTTAAGGGCTTCCGCAGTAAGGCTTGAGGCCCTGAGGGTCTTGGGCTCCAGGAATCTTAAACAGCCAGAGCGCAGAGAATCCAGAAATCTAAGCCCGGCCAGTTCCATGTAAAGCCTTATGGATTCATTACGAAACGAGGCCCCAAACAAATTTTGTGATAGGTAGCCCACGGGCCGGTCAGGCTGTCTTTAGTAAGTTTGTCTGGCTACCCTCTATAATGCCAAGTTTTTTTCGGATGATGTTCTTTACGGGTTTGTGTTTAGGGTTAAGCGCCTACGCAGTAAGGCTTGAGGCCCTGAGGGCCTTGGGCTCCAGGAATCGTAAAGGCTGGAAAGCTTCAGGCCTTGAGGTCCTAAAGGCTTGAGGCCCTGAGGGCGGTTCCCCCCCCCCCAATTTGTTTGGGGGGGTCGCCGCGCCATGCGTTTATAGAGGGTCCCAAATTTGTTTGGGGGGGGGGGGGGGGGGGGGGGGGGGGGGGGGGCCCATTCTAAAGACAGTGCAACATTAAACCCTAATTAAACCCTAAACCCTAAACCATGACCCTCCAAGTAGGTCCCGGCGCCTGCGGCGTCGCCACTCCAAACGCCAACGTACCCTGGCGGAAGGTCAAATATGGGGGGGGGGGAGAGTTTCCGGGCTTAGGGTTTAGGGTTTCGGCTTTAGGGAAGAGGGTTTAGGGAAGAGGGTTTAGGGAAGAGGGTTTAGGGTTTAGGGTTTAGGGTTTAGGGTTTAGGGTTCAGCGTTTGGCGGGCCCTTTCTGGCGTTCAGGGAAGCCTCCGCAGGGAACCAGTCCCAACAAAACCTCGAAACGAAACCCGCGATCCCCAAGACCACAACTCCTTGCCCCCAACCCAAAATGGCCTCAGGGCTTAAGGTTTAGGGTTTAGGGTTTAGGGTTTAGGGTTTAGGGTTTAGGGTTTAGGGTTTAGGGTTTCGGGTTCGGGGCCCGGGGCACAGAGGCTCAGGGTGAACCCACCGAACCCAGCAAGGCCAACCCCACGGTAGAAGCATGCAGGCACGGCCGTTGTCGTGCGCCGAGAACAGCTTCCTTAGCATGATGTGCTCAAGGGACTGAAGCTCCTAAACCCTGAACCCTAAACCTTGACCCTAAACCATGAACCCTGAACCCTAGATTGTTCCCCTACAAGGGCTCCCTCCATGTACTCCACCCATAGGGCCCTATGCTTTAGGGGCACGTACAGGGTCCCCCCCCAAACCCAAGGACCGGGCTATCTTCAACCAGTCCAGTAAACCCCCTAACACCCTTGAGCGGGTTTAGGGTTTAGGGTTTAGGGTTTAGGGTTTAGGGTTTAGGGTTTAGGGTTTAGGGTTTAGGGTTTAGGGTTACCCGAGCAACCCTAGCAACCCCAGCCCGGACGGCCCTGACAACCCTGACAACCCTGACAACCCTGACAACCCTGACAACCCTAACAACCCTAACAACCCTAAACCCTAAACCCTAAATCCTAAGCCCTAGAAGGACACTCAAGGGAGACCTCAAGTCCTGACAGCACAGGAGTTTAGGGTTTAGGGTTTAGGGTTTTAGGATTTAGGGTTTAGGGTTTAGGGTTTAGGGCGTAGGGACAAAAACCGAACCCCGAAACCCTCCCAAAGGCCCGGCCCCAAGAAAGGTTTTTGCAAAGCTTTCTCTCTGCAACCTCCCCAAAGTGTGTAAAAACAAACAATACGGAACACAAAAATACCGTTTTTTCGTTTGTTCAGAAACAACTCATGCGATGAGAACAAGAAAAGAAACAATAACAGTCACAGGAACAACAATAACAAGAATAGCAACGAAAAGGATACCGCCCTAAACCCTAAACCCCAAGCCCTAAACCCTAAACCCTAAACCCTAAACCCTAAACCCTAAACCCTAAACCCTAAACCCTAAACCCTGAACCCTGAACCCTGAACCCTGAACCCTAAACCGCGTCTCGACCCTGGGAGTGCTCTGGGCCCCCTGGCAGTTTCGAGCCCCCGCCCCACTGCAGGTCGTTGGCTTTGCCTGGCAAGTCCTCAGAGAGTAGGGTTTGAGGTTTAGGGTCTGGGGTTTAGGGTTTAGGGTTTGGGGTTTGGGGTTTAGGGCTCAGGGAGGTTTGGAGTTTAGGGTTTGGGTTTTAGGGGCTTTGGGTTTAGGGTGGTGGGCTTGGAGTTTGGGGTTTGGGGATTAGGGGTTAGGGGTTTGGGGTTTAGCGCTTGGGGTGTGGCGTTCGGGTTTGGGTTTGGGGATTTTCGGGTTGGGAGTTGAATGGGCTTGGAGGCTTTATGGCGACGAGGGTTCCACCCTCTTTGCGGGCTTCCAGCCCTGGCACCTCGCTGCTCAATTCGCGTGCTGGTTCTTGGTGGGGCTTAGGGTTTAGGGTTTAGGGTTTAGGGTTTAGGGTTTAGGGTTTAGGATTTAGGGTTTAGGGTTTAGGGTTTAGGGTTTAGGGTTTAGGGTTTAGGGTTTAGGGTTTAGGGTTTAACCCCAAACACTAAACCCCAAGGCCCTAAACCCTAAGGCCCTAAACCGTACAGGGTCGCAGGAACTAGTAAGGTCTTAAATGATTGTAGGGCTCAGGCATTTGGGCCCCAGGGTGGTTTCCAGGGTTTACTTAGGGATGAAGGTGTAGGGTTTTAGGGTTTCGGGTGTAGAGATGAAGGAGAAAAATTAAGCCTGTCCTTGATCTCGAAGAGAAGCTTCGCGATACCTGTGGCGCTGGCTCGCCACACCGCGATGAGGGCGGGCTTGGACCTCTCCGCGTGCGGTTTTGGGGTTTCGGGTTTCGGGTTTAAGGTTTAGTGTTTCGGGCTCAGGGTTCCAAGAAATAGCCAGAGCCCCCATCCCAAACCCTCCCCAAACTGCCCTCGACCCCTCAACCCTGAACCCAAACAATCCCTACACCCTAAACCCTAAACCCTAAACAACCCCCAGCAATCCCTAAACACCTAAACTCCACTTCCAAGGGTCCCGACCCCAGCTTCTCCGATGCGGAGGCGAAGCGCCGACCCTCAGCCGGGCCGGCCTCAGTGGCTTCTGGTGCCATGAGGCAAGGGTGGCTGGGCAGGGGAGGTTGGGGTTGGATTCAGAGTTCAGCCCTAAACCCTCAACCCTCAACCCTAAGTTCAAGGCTGAAGGTTCAAATTCCGCGCTGGGTTGGGGTTGGGGGGAGCTCGTGGAGCTCGAAATGTTTCGGGGGCCGTCGCCACGCTCTAACCCCTAACCCCTCAACCCTCAACCCTAAACCCTAAACCCTAAACCCTAAACCCTAAACCCTAAACCCTAAACCCTAAACCCTAAACCCTAAACCCTAAACCCTTAGCCTGCTCAACTTCGGCTACAACGACCTCCCCACGGCTCTGGTCGGGCTTATAAAGCCTAGGGCTTGAGCAGCCCGAAACCCTAAACCCTAAACCCTAAACCCTAAACCCTAAACCCTAAACCCTAAACCCTAAACCCTAAACCCCGCAACCCTGAACCCTTAGACCCCTATACCCTAAGCCCTCCTTAGACCCCTAAACCCGGAACAGTAAACCTAAACCCTAAAACCTCCTTCGACCCCTAAACTGCTTCCTTGTTGGGGTCATTTTAAAAACTATCATGTTTATTCCTTATTGGGAATTTAGCAGGATAAAAATGTAAAAGTATAACCAACAAGGACCCAGTAAACCCTGAACCACAAGCTCTTGGCGGCCCCTTATGTTGCCGCCATCGGCACACTGTGGCTCGACCGCCCGCGCCAAGAAGCCCCGAACTGTTTGCCCAAAGCCAAGTTGAAGCTAGGGTGTAGGGTGTAGGGTGTAGGGGTTGGGTTTAGGGTTTAGAGTGTAGGGTGTGTGGTTTTCGGGCTTAGGGTTTGGCGGCTACGCCCGAAACTCAGCCGAATACCTAAACCCAAAGTCGGAACCCTACCCTAAACCCTAAACCCCCAAAACCCTAAACCCTTAACCCTTAACCTACCCCACTTAGGTTCCCGGAGGCCACCGAGGGCCAAGGACCTCGCAGCTGCATAGCCGCCGCCAGGGCTACCTCCCGCCTCAGCCAGGGCCTAAACCCTAAACCCTAAACCCTAAGCCCTAAGCCCTAAACCCTAAACCCTAAACCCTAAACCCTAAACCCTCAGCCAGGGACGGCTCGACTCTCTGGGATTGGGGTTTAAGGCTTTAGGCGTTAGGACTTGGAAGTTTGGGGTTGAAGGTTTAGGGTTTAGGGTTTAGGGTTTAGGGTTTAGGGTTTAGGGTTTAGGATTTGAGGTTTGGGGTTTGGGGTTTGGGTTTTGAGTTTAGGGCTTGGGGTTTCGGGTCTAGGGCTTAGGGTTTGGGATGGTGGCTTTAGGGCTTTGAGCTTAGGGTTCCTGGGATTGGGGCTTTGGGTTTAGGGTCTAGGGTTTAGGGTTTAGGGTTCAGGGTTCGGGGTTCGGGGTTCAGGGTTCAGGGTTCAGGGTTCAGGGTTCAGGCTTCAGGGTTCAGGGTTCAGGGTTTAGGGTTTAGGGTTTAGGGTTTAGAGCTGCGAGCTCAGGCTGCGGGACTTGGGCCCTTAAGGACTTCTGCAGGAGCTTAACATCGACATGCATATTCTCCCCATTCCCTAGCACTATTGTTGTTTTAGGGTTTAGGGTTTAGGGTTTAGGGTTTAGGGTCTAGGGTTTAGGGTTTAGGGTTTAGGGTTTAGGGTTTAGGGTTTAGGGTTTAGGGTTTAGGGTTTAGGGTTTAGGGTTTAGGGTTTAGGGTTTAGGGTGAGGGCATTGAACGCCCTCAAGTGAACTTGTTCGCTTCTTGACGGCTGAACGCAACACGCTTCAGGTCCGCCATGTCGTGTGTGGGAAACGGGCTACCCAAGCGCTAGGTCCCTGGCATCGTCGAACGGGCACCATCTGAGTATCCTGGGATGTTGAGGATCTTACAGGTTCCATCCGACGTCAGACATCTCATCAAGCTGAAGCTTAAGCCGGATCCCTGTTCAGAGATAAGGAGTTTCAGTTGGGATGTCCCCCCTTAGACTAACAGTCCTTAATAGGCATTCTAGTAATTACCCCCAACTATAATCCCTATGAAGCACTGTTAGTACAAGGGGGAACATCCCAAGGTTTCAGGTTCAGAGAGCACACCGAAGCACCGAAAACGTGGTCGGCTAAACCCTAAACCCTAAACCCTAAACCCTAAACCCTAAACCCTAAACCCTAAACCCTAAACCCTAAACCCAAAGTCGACGTCTGGCCTTACTCTGCCTCCGTGGTCCAGGGAGGTCTTCGGGGAGACCACAGTGAAGTGCTCCAGCTTGTCTGGATTGCCCTCGCGGCTGCAAAAACCCTAAACTTTAAACCCTACATGCCCTAAACCCTGAGCCCTAAACCCTGAACCCTAAACCCTAAAGGAAAACAAAAACGGCTCCTGAAAAAAGGTTCAACGAGAAGATGCGCTGATGACACCCAAGAAGGGAACATGACCGAGATGCCAAGGTCTTATAAACCCCAATTACCCTAAACCCCAAACCCTAAACCCAAACCCCGAACCCCAAACCCAAAACCCGAGACCCGACCTGCCTGCAGACGGGAAGGTCACGATTTGGGGGATTTTTGGAGCGTCGGGTCTGGGTTAGGGTTAGGGTGCAGGGTTTAGGGTTTTGGGTAAGCAGGGTATAGGGGGGTGTGGCCGTCGTGGTCTCAGGGGCCTGAGATGGCGGAATATCCGAGCACACGCAAACTTCAAAACCAAGCACCTGAAAGCCCTCAAGAAATCTACAGACTGCCTGATCTCATCAACCAAGCTTAGCGGACAAGAGCAAAAGAGAAATGATGCTGGAAGAAAAAGTGCAAAAATGAGAGGGAAGGAAGATGAGGCTGACCCTCAGCTCCCTCCCGCAGAGCAGAGCATGTTCCCAACCCTAGACCCTAAACCCTAAACCCTAAACCCTAAACCCTAAACCCTAAACCTGACAAGCCGGCCTTCTTCTGTCTTGGGCTCAAGAATATGTAGTCTGAAAGTAGCAAGAACCGTAATCATCGAAATCGCAGCAACAACAGAGGTAAGAGTTCATAAGAGAATCAGAATAATTATACTATGACTACTGCTCTGACTTGGGCGTTGCCTGTTTTTTTGCGAGCTGCTTGGCTCAACCCTAAACCCTAAACCCTAAACCCTAAACCCTAAACCCTAAACCCTAAACCCTAAACCCGTTGGGGGGGCTCTTTGGGGCTGGGCGCCTCCCAGAACTTCACCTGGCCGTCCGCCGAGCCGCTCATCAGAAGCGGAGGCACCTCATTGTTTCAGGGTTTAGGGTTTTGGGTTTAGGGTTTAGGGTTTAGGGTTTAGGGTTTTAGGTTTTTAGGGTTTAGGGTTTAGGGTTTAGGGTTGAGGGTTCGGAGTTGAGGTTTAGATGTGGGGCTTAGGAGTTAAGATGCAGGATTCGGGGTTGAAGGTTCTCCCCTCCGCGTCCCACACAAACCGAAATTTAACACCCAAGCCTAAAACCCGAACACCTGAACTCTCAGCCCCTGAAACCAGCCCTTACCAAGCTTCAAGGAAACCGCCAACCGACTCGAATCCTCGAGCCACTCCTTGGGCTTAGGGGCTTCGGGTTCGGGTTTCGGGCTTGGGGTTCGCATGGTTAGGGTTTAGGGCTGAGGGTTCAGGATTTAGGGTGCGGGGTTCAGGGTTTAGGGTTTAGGGTTCAGGGTTTAGGGTTTAGGGTTTAGGGTTTAGGGTTTAGGGTTTAGGGTTTAGGGTTTAGGGTTTAGGGTTTAGGGTTTAGGGTTTAGGGTTTAGGGTTTAGGGTCACACACACACACACACACACACACACACACACACACGAAAGAACCCCGCCCGGAAATGGGACCGTCCAGGGACGCCACCGTCGACACATCGAGGGTGAACACGGCGCCGGTGTGCCCTCGCACCCCACAATTGGTGACTGGCACTTTGGGGCTTAGGGTTTAGGGTACAGGGTCTAGGGTTTAGGGTTTAGGGTTGAGGGTCAGGGTGTAGGGTTTGGATCCACAAGTAGGATGGGTGGAGACATGGCATAAGGTGCTGGCTCAGCGGCCAAAACCGCTCGAGACACCGAACAAGAACCAGTGTAGTAAGCCAAGCGGTCCATCTCCAAGAAAGCTGCTGCACGGAAACATGACACAGTGTCGACGAATCAGCAAACCTATACGAATCGAAGCATGGCGATCACTACATGTCATAACACGTTCTAAATGCAAGAAGAGGGTTCCCTCTGACAAAGCCAGGAACAAGCCTCGCCGCCCAACTTCATGTCTCTCCGTGCTCGTCGCAACACGACAAGTCGTTTCAGACAACCCTAAACCCTAAACCCTAAACCCTAAACCCCAAACCTGGAGCCAAATGCTCCCCACGTTTGCCACGAAGCCAGCGGCGCCTCCCTAGGCCCCCACCTCTCTCCTCGCCGGAAGCCACTTCGCATTGCTTAAAACCGTGTCCCCCTCTTTCGGACTCCATCTTCGGCCTCATATTTTCGAGGGAGGTACCCTGTACCTAACTTAGACGTGCTGAAAACCATCTGCAAAACCTACTCATGCGCAGGGCTTCGGGGGCTACAGGCAAACTCTTCATCTTTTGCGTGCTCAGGCGTGAGGCGTTAGAGAACCTACACCCTGCATTCAGGAAATCGAGACTCGCGTGGAGGGCCGACGAAGGTCGGAGCCCAGATCTGAAGCCGTTTAGGGTTTAGGGTTTAGGGTTTAGGGTTTAGGGCTTAGGGCTTAGGGCTTAGGGCTTAGGGTTTAGGGTTTACGGTTTAGGGCAACAACCAGGTTTTCAGACCCCCGAAACTTCCCCAAACCGTTTCAGCCCCACGATCCCCCACAGCCTCTGAAACCCAAGCCAGAAGGCAGGGTTTAGGGCTTAGGGTTTAGGGCTTAAGTCCTAGGAAGCCTTGAACCCGTAACCTTAAACCCGAAAGCCCTAGATCCCCAAACCCTGAACCACTTAACCACTAAACCCTCAACCCTGAACCACTAAACCCTAAACCCTCAACCCGCAACCCTAAACCCTCAACCCTCAACCCTAAACCCTAAACCTCGGCACATGGGCCTGCGAAGGTCACCAGAGCCTTCAGCAACTTTGTCTCCAGAGACCAGCATATGAGGTAGTTATCCTGCTTAGGGTTTAGGGTTTAGGGTTTAGGGTTGAGGGTTGAGGGTTGAGGGTTGAGGGTTGAGGGTTGAGGGTGGAGGGTTGAGGGTGAGGGTTGAGGGTTGAGGGTTGAGGGTTGAGGGTTGAGGGTTGAGGGTTGAGGGTTGAGGGTTGAGGGTTGAGGGTTGAGGGTTCCTCTTTTTGCTTTTTCTGCGGGGAAGGGGGGGGGGGGGGTAGGACCCAGGTGGCAGGGCCTTAGGGTTGCAATCCTGTCTGGGTTTAGGGTTTCGGGTATAGGGTTTAGGGTTGCGGCATGTCCATTAAATACTCCGACCAGTCGTGGTTGCGATCCAATTAGGGTCTAGGGTTTCGGGTTTAGGGTCAGGTTTTATGGTTTAGGGTTTAGGGGGTTTTCTGCGAAGGGCCAACGGGCTCAGGGCGTCGGTTTTTTCTTTTTTCACTTCCGGGCTGTGACTTACCCTCACCCCAAAATCCTAAGCCGTACATCTCGGGGTCTTAGGTTTAGGATCCCTAAACCCTAAACCCTAAACCCTAAACCCTAAACGCTAAACCCTAAACCCTAAACCCTACTAAACCCTCAAGCCCATGTAACTTGAAATTATTAAGACTTAGGGTTTTGGGTGTTGGGTCTTGGGTTGAGGGGTTTAAGGTCATGGCTTCGGCCTTTCATGCCTACGGCTTGTCGAGATGCTGGGAAGCCCAGTTTAGGGTTTAGGGTTTAGGGTTTAGGGTTTAGGGTTTCGGGTTTAGGGTTTAGGGTTTAGGGTTCAGGGTTTCGGGTTTAGGGTTTGGGGTTTTGGGTTTAGGGTCTAGGGTCTAGGGTCTAGGGTTTAGGGTTTAGGGTTTAGGGTTTAGGGTTTAGGGTTTTAGGGTTTAGGGTTTAGGGTTTAGGGTTTAGGGTTTAGGGTTTAGGGTTTAGGCCTGTTTGGGGGTTGGTTGCTTTACAAGGGAACTTGGTGTGACCCCGACATTACTGGGATCCTTACTATAAACGGAATCCCTATTCGGGGTCCCGTATTTTCGTAAACCCCCACCTTGAACCAAGAAGAAGGGTAGAAAGGTAGCACGAGCCCGAAACCCTAAACCCTAACTTCACAAATACACCTTGAACTTGAAAAAAAAGCGCAAAAGGGTACCACTAGCTCTACACCCTAACTTTATATGGCAACCTGGCCAAAGGGCAAGAATGGGGCGAGGGACTGGCAAGACACATACACAGACACCAAACAGTGCGTTTGAAGGATGGATTCAAGAGCAGAGCATATGCCGCAAAGGGTTTGGGGTTTAGGGTTTAGGGTTTAGGGCTCACGTTCTGAGCTTCCCTAGACCCTAAACCCGAAACCCCAAACCCTAAACCCTAAACCCGAAACCCTAAACCCTGAACCCCAAAACCCGAAACCCGAAACCCTAAACCCGAATCCGAACGCCGAAACCTCCACATGCAGCAGCCCAAACTCAGCTCCTTGGAGCAGGTGAAGAGATACCTGGCCATAATAGGGCTTAGGGTTTAGGGTTTAGGGTTTAGAGTTTAGGGTTTAGGGTTTAGGGTTAGGGTTGAGGGTTTACGGTTTAGGGTTTAGGGTCTAGGGTTTAGGGGCAACGGGGTTTACGTTTTTAGGGCTCAGGGGATTTGATTGCGGAGCACCCACCACTTCGTAGGGACCCGCAGCAGAATCGGGCATTCTCCGAAAACAGGAGTTTATGGACCAGGCTCACCACCAAGCAAGTGTACGACAGGATGGTTTGGGGTTTGGGGTTGAGGGTTCCTAAACCCCTTGCAACCCTAAGCCCGAAACCCTACACCCTCCATCATTCAGACGACCGACATAAAGGGTGCGGAGGTTTCTCTTACCTTGTAGCCCTAAACCCTAAACCCTAAACACTGAACCCAAAACCTAAGAACAGAACACCCTCGCATCCGTCGCCTCCCATCTGCTGAGATACAAACGCTCAGGATGGGCCGGTCCTTCGAAAGGCAGTGTTGAAAGGGTTCAAGGTGGTTTCTATACCCCCCCCCCCCTCGAGAACCTTGATTAAAATACTATTTTTAATACCCTCTTGGCTTTTATATAAACAAAAAATAATTCCCAAAGGGGGACATAGGTTTAGGGCTGAGGGTTCGGGGTTTATGGTGTTCGGGTTGTAGGGCCAAGGACGAAGGCCTTGGGCATTGATCGAAGCCTGACGCACGGACCAAACCCCCCCCCCCCCCAAAGCCACATCTCGGAGTTCGGTGTTTGGGTTAGGATGCAGGGCCAAATCCTTGGCGCTTGACCCTAAACTCTAGACCCAAAACCCCTAACCCTCAAATACCCTGAAACCGAAACATCCGACATCACTGGCATGGTGGTACTCAGGGCCAGGCGTGGCGGCACATGAACTCAGGCTTTCGCCGCTCCTCCTCCTTTGCATTGAGGCTTTACGGTCCAGGGCTTGTGGCTTTGGGTTTTTAGGAACCCTGATCCCTTCTGAAGACCTCAAAACGACTGGAGCCCTAGCCCTGGATGACGAACAAGCGTGGCAGGAAATGTCGCAGAAAAGGCCACAGTGATCAAATATATGTTGCTCTTGAAAATGAGAATGGATCAACGCACGCAGGAAGACCATCCGAGAAAGGGCGCCGAGCATGAACCTTGCCCAAATGGCCTCTCCCCACGTCAAAGGTAGATTGTTGTCTTGGCAATCCGTAGAAACCTGACTATAGGTAGAAAGGAAGCGAGGAATCAGCACAAGAGTATGAAAAAATGGGCTACCAAAAAAACACGAAAGAAACTCGAGCGTTCACCTCTGGCTATTTGAGTTCGGGCCTTGTTGACAGGCCTCAGGAACGCGCTCTGATTCGCACCCTCGTCGATACCATGGATTACCAGTCACCATACCATATCACCGCGTCTCATATCGCACGCCACATACGTCCCAATAATGCAGTATATGGTATGGCCGTGTGGTTAGGGGCAAAAGGTGGAGGCGACCATAGCAACTGTACATGCCTCCGATGGTGTCTGCGTGCTCGATATTACTATTATTGTCGCCATGTTGATTTCCCTCGGCGATGGTTTGGCGCGACGCGCGCTTTGAATATTTAGGCAAAAGTCGCGAATTTGGAGAACCTTTCCGACCGTTGGCAATTTTTGCGGTTATTGTTTTCCAGCGCCGTCCGGGCACCGAGAGGACGCAACCGAACATTTTCGTTCACACAACGACATGCTGTTTCTGGCGTCCCGTCACACCCCAGTCCTGCTTCTTCTCTCGCATCTGCCGCCGCTCCTGTTCCTGCTGCTAAACCCTAAACCCTAAACCCTAAACCCTAAACCCTAAGGTTTTGAGTTTTAAGTCTTAGGCTGCTTGCGGTTGGTAGAAGTAGTAGAACTAGGCTGCCCAGTAACCTAGGCTTAAAAAGGATGCCCTTTTTTGCTTAAAGGGGTTTATAAGGGAACCTAAACCCCCCAAAAAAGGGAACAAGGGTACTACTGGGCATCCTGGAGAAGAAGTGAGGAGTTCAAAGTAGAAGTAGAGCCATAGCAGTAGCCGTGGTAGCAGCAGTAAAAGTAGTACTTGTCGTCGTCGTGATAGTAAGAATCGTCGTAGTATCGTCACCCAAAGCCCCAAACCCAGCCGAAACCGAACCCCAAGCTCCCAAACTCGTCTTCCATGTGGCCTCCCGCCAAAACGAAAACGAGAAGGCCTTCACAGCCTTGGGTCGGAAATAATTACTAATAGTATTCCCCGATGGTCCCAGTAAAGTCTACTATATCGACCCCCAAAATCCTATTCTAACTATTAAGGCCCCTATGGTACTTATTTTGGGCTGTGGGGTTTATCGGGGCTTCTCAGGGTTGAGGGTGTAGATTTTGGCTTCCAAGCTCTATGGGGGCTTTGGATTTAGTTGGATTACGCGCCTTTTCTCAAACTGGCACAGGCCTTGGGGTTTGGGGTTTAGGGTTTAGGGTTTAGGGTTTCGGGTTTGGGGTTTAGGGTTTAGGGTTTCGGGTTTAGGGATTGGGGTTTAGCGTTTAGGGCTTGGGGTTTGGGGTGGCCAACTTTGAGATACTGCATCGCTCTCCTGCTTCCGGCGGCGCTCGATGCCTTGCACCGTGGCCTTCGGCAGCAGCGCGGTGATGTCCTCCGAAGTGTCACACGGGCCGTGTGAAACTGCAGTAGGGTCTGATGGCTCAAAGGGTGAGGTCTAGGCGTCATCGGCTTGCGTAGGCTAGCACAAGGCCTTCTTACGAGACCCCTCGACAGCGCTCAATCCGAAGCACCGGTTATCGCCCATGGGTTTAGGGGGTTTAGGGCTCCTACCTCCACCCTGAGCCTCGAAACCAGATGCCTCATCCCCCAGCCCAGACCACCACACCGGTCTTATCTTTCAGCTGGGGAGGGGGGATTGATGGCCAACCTCATGCAAGGCGTGTGGCCTTGGGCTCAGAACCCAACCCCAAACATGCCTTAAGCCCTACACCCTAAACCCTAGACCCTAAACCCTAAACCCTAAACCCTAAACCCTAAACCCTCAAGGCATGAGCTTGGATCCATCCTCCGTCTTGCCCAGGACGTCAGAGTCACCCGGCAGCTTCCCAGCCAGGGATGCCACCTTAGGGCACACATCTTGGAGGTACCCCTAAACCCTAAACCCTAAACCTTAAACCCTAAACCTGGGCTGGACAGCTGGGGGGGGCCAGCTTGGGTTTTGAGGCTTGGGTTTCTGTGGTTCGCGCTCTGAAGAACACATGTCCTTTCTTGCAGGAAGGGGTTTAGGGTTTAGGGTTTAGGGTTTAGGGTGTAGGGTTTCCTGGAATACCGGCTTTGGACTTGAGCTCTTGACATGCACCCGAGCCATGGACGGCATGATGTCCATGGTTTAGGGTTTAGGGTTTAGGGTTTAGGGTTTAGGGTTTAGGGTTTAGGGTTTAGGGTTCAGGGTTCAGGGTTACAGTTGAGACTCTGGCGCGAGCAAGGTTTACGATGCTGGCTCAATTAGCTGCAAAGCTGTAAGCCCTAAGCCCTAAACCCTAAACTGCAACTCGCCCGTCGACTAATGGGTGCCTGGGATGGTGGGTTAATCACGATGCAGGACTTGCGCACACACACACACACACACAAAAAAAAAAAAAAAAAAAAAAAAAAAAAAACTAAACCCTAAACCTCTTCATCGCTTCAAAACCTAACCACTTCATACCCTAATCCCTAAACCCTAAACCCTAAACCCTAAACCCTAAACCCTAACCCCCCCAAAAAGAGCACCGAAACTCCCCCAAATTCGAGACCCCCCCCCACCTCTTTCAGCATGCCATCCTTCTGCGCCACCTTGTCCAACTGGTTCCTTGAAGCTTGCTGCCCAGTAACCAAGGCTTAAAAAGGGTTTAGGGTTTAGGGTTTAGGGTTTAGGGTTGCTTAAAAAGGGTGCCCTTTTTGGCTTAAAGGGGTCTATAAGGGAACCCTAAACCCCCAAAAAGGGAAGAAGGGTATTACTG